GGAGGGGAGGAGGAGGAGAGGGAGGAGGAGGGGGGAGGAGGGGGAGGGGGAGGAGGAGGAGGCGGAGGAGGAGGAGGCGGAGGAGGAGGGGGGAGGAGGAGGAGGAGGACGCGGAGGAGGAGGAGGAGGAGACTCTGGAGGCTCTGCCTGATCGCGTAGCGATGCATGCAACTAAAACCCCGCCACCCTATGCATGGTGTTCTTGGCTCCGGAGGCCTTCTCAGCACGACTGAGGACCTTGGGCCAGAGCCCTTTTGCAATTCGCTCAAGGTCTTCGCATCCCGTGGATGTGGGCTTCTCGCGCAGCTCACCGAGTTTCCCGAAGACCTGCTGCGCGCGCGCCGCGAAGGGTGCAAGACTAAAGTTGCAGCCCAACGCGGAACCTTAAACGATGGCTCTGTTGTGCAATCTCCCCGCGATATGGACCTGATTCCCAAGAGGAGCCCCCTTCAATGTGCCATCAACATTTAAAGGTTCGAAACATTCACTCTGGATCCAAAGGGGCCTCGAGGCCTTGCTGGAGAAACTGGAACACCTAGCACGCGCGGAGCCTGCAGGGTCAACTTGGCGTTGCGACCCGACGAGAGCACGCCACTAGGAGGCCGGTGGGCGCTCGGGTTTTATCCCTTCCTGCCGCTTTCGGCGCGGCTCACCTTGCGACTGACATTCGCTCTTCTCTGATTCAACTGCGTCGAGTGCGTCCCGGAGCAACTTCATCCGAACTGATGCAGTTTTTTGCCGAATGAGCGCCACCTGCTGGCGCTCGACCATGCAAACTCTGGTTTCGCTGGCTGCAGTGCCTGCGAACGTGTCGGCGGCGCAGCTGTCACAGGCTAACGTTGATGCCAGCCTGCCATGCACGATGTCCCCCGCCTCCATGTGCGATGGGATCCAAAGAACTGCGACGTGGCCTTGACGATGGGCCTCTGCACGTTGGGGTCGGAGGCAGAGGTCGGCGTCTTGTCCCGTGGGCTCTTGGACACGTCCATCGCGGCTTCCAAGATAGCAGCCCCAATTGTCCGTGAAAAAACGATGTCTTGAGTCGTGGCTTCGACAGCGATGACCAGGGCAAGTCGTTCGCCCCGCGCCGCGGTCTGTCTCGCGCCGCCTGCCAGCGGCCCCCATAGGGCCGCCTGCGTCTGCGTGGTCATTCTCGAGCGAGCCGTAGAAGACTGCGCCAGCTCCGGCCCTCCGCAGGTGCGAGTTGCTGGTGCCCTGTCCTCCACTGGCGTCGCCGAAAGCATAAATAAGCTGTCCACGTAGGTGCTGTAAGCAGGCGGCGCGGCACTCGTAAATCCCAGAACGAGTCCATCGTTCGACCATTGTGGGCGCCGCAACTTGTGTCCACCCGCTTCGCATGATACCGCGCGTCCAGAAACATTCGAACATGCGTCGCCGGGCCATGGCCTCGGGAACGAGGTGATTGGTGCCCTGGATGATGGGGTTGTCGCGGTTGTGGCTGCACCCCCACACTCTGTGAACGTCATCCTCTTCCTCGGCGCCGCGCCTCGGGCAATTGGCACCAATGTTGGGCATCTTAGTCTCGTGCGCTATGCGCTTCCCGTCCACGTGGCCCCTGTGGCAATAGTGAGCATGAGATCGGATAGGCGGCGCCCCTGTGGCATGTTCTCGAGATGCCCTAGAAAGCAGCGGTAGGAACGGTTGTCAGCTCCATGTTGAACACCCTCACCGCCACGATGTTGACTGGCTTGTCGCCAGAGCTGGAGCTGGATGCCGGTGTCGATGTCGTCGAGCAACTTGCGTGAGATGTCGGCGTCTGGGCGCCCTGATAGCGCGGCGGCGTCGAACTCCCAAGCGTCGCCTGTGCTGTTGCCGTCGCTGGGCAGCCCCCATCGGTTGGGCTGCGCGGGGCCCCATCGCATCTGCAGAAGGTAATGGCTGATAGTGGACTGTGGACCACGCGTGCGTCGGGCGCGTCGCGCGGGCGGGACGGCCTGGAAATGCCCGGCAGTTTTGGCCCAGGTGAGCGCGGTGGCACGGCGGAGATGGGGGCTGGCAATCCACGCGGTGGGCCAGGCTACGAAGGCTTCGCGAAGAAGCTCCCTGGCGGGGCCCTTCTCGCCACCTCGGAGGTCGAGGAGCGCGGCGAGACGGCGCCCGCGCAGGCGCGGGCCAACTGCATCTTCGAGTCGCCTTCAGCAGGTGGCCACGGCGGCGCCGAACGTGCTGCGGAGCTGGCGGGCGCAGGCGGCAGTGGCAAGCCCGCCCTGCGCAGCCAACTAGCGGTGAGGTGGCACCGCTAGGTGACGCGGGCGATGGGAACGACCCTGGCACGCATGTCCTTGTGGCGCCGTCGTCGTTGGGCGGCCGTTGCCCTGGAATGTCGGGCGCCGCAGCTGATGTCAGCACCCAGGTGGGCTGCGTGAGGTCGCGGCTGGATGTGGCGCCCCTTGTGCCGCATAGACTTGGCGATGCGCTTGGCGTCCTGGGCGCGCGCGCGCTATGACGCTCTTCTTGGCGACGATGAGGCCGCGATCCTGGAGCGCATTGCAGGCGTCGGTGAGCACGGCGACCATGTGGCGGCGAAGTGCTCGTCGGCTGGCCTGCGTGCGCTGCGACAGGCCGTCGACCCAAATGCGGCGTCGTGTGGTTGGGTGGCTTGCGGCGATGTGCCGCAGGGCCTCGAAAGTCATGATCTCGGCGAAACGTGCACCTGACCTTAACCCTTGCACCACTGGCATGGCTGGTTGTATGGCCTCAGCGTGCGCTCCGCTCTGTGTGAGCGCGCGTGGGGCCATGCACTGTAGGACCTCGAGGCCTAAAACCCCGGGCGGGAAATTGAATCCGAGGGCTTCGTCGAAGAGGGTCGTCCACTGGATGGAATCGTAGAATTGGGAGATGTCGAGGAGTCCGTGCGCCTGTGGGATGCCCTGTCGCGCCGCTACGTGCTAATGCAAGCTTTGCGCGCATGCCTCCCGAAAGGCAGAGCTGCCCTTGGCGATGGCGTCCCAGTGAGCGAAGTACTCTCTGTTCAATGCTTGGACACGTGGTTCTCTTATCATGGACCAGCGCCAGGCAATGATGGTCATGGGTCCGAGGATCCTGTCGCCTTTGTCCTTCTTGGCGCGCATGGCGCCGAGGGGGAGCTGGCGTGGCCACGTCTGCGCCTGCTCCGCCGCCATGTAGATCTCGGCGAGCTCGGCGAGCGCAAGTTCAGGGAGACGAAGTAGACCTGCTGGTCGCAGACGGTCGGCCCCTAACGCCGTGTTGGCCTTGAGGCGCTTGAGGGCTTGTCTGACCTCGGTGCTGGTGATGGGCGGCAGGCTGCATTCGTGGATGCGGTCATGGATGCGCTGGCAGGCCTCGCGTAAACCGACGTGGGTGGTCTCCTTCGGTGCCCAGAGCTGTTGCCTCGTTGGTACCTTGCCGTCGATGAGGTCCATGGGGTGCATGATGGTGCTGGCACCGCCCTGCATCACCTCGGCTGGTTGCGGCTGTGGTCGTACTGAGCGGTGCAGTGTGTCCAGAGCGTCGTCGGTGACAACCCAGTCGCGGAAGTCGTGGATCGCCTTCCGCAAGGCACGCCGTTGGGCACGTCGTGCGATCTCCCCGCCCAGGCCGTGTGGCTGACGATGGTATCCGCGTTGTGGCGGTGGATGGTCTCGAGGGTATCAACCCTCTGCTCCCAACGTAGATCGTCCTTCTCGTGGATGATGTGTGGTGAGTTGGCTGGTGGGGATCCCGTAAGCCTTGCAACTGCACGTAGTTGCTGCTGACGCTGTAACTGGCCGCTGCCACGCGCTAGGTGGCGGTGGATGCTCTGTAGTACTGAATGGAAAAATGTCCACCAGGTACTGCTGCGGTCGGCCAGTGGGAAGTCCTTCGACACCGTAGTTCGCGCCCGATCTCGATCTGATACTGTGGGCCAGCGGCCCGGGAAGTCCCAATGAGAGGAATCTGGTGGTGTGCGCGTATAGATGTCTCCGCGGCAGTGGCCCACGAACCATAAGAGTTGTCCAAGCTGAAGGGGCACGTCAAGCTTGAGCCGAGAGGCTACGGAGGCAGCAGCAGCGGGGGCAGGCCGAGTCCTGTGAGAAGACAAGATGAGGAGGAGGACCAGGAGGAGGAGGAGGAGGAGGAGGAGGAAAAGGAGGAGGAGGACGAGGAGGAGGAGAGGAGGAGGAGGAAGAGGAGGAGGAGGAGAAGGAGGAGGAGGAGGAGGGGGAAGAGGAGGAGGAGGAAATAAGAGGAGGAGGAGGAGAAGGAGGAGGGAGAAGGAGGAGGAGAAGGAGGAGGAGGAGGGGGATGAGGATGATGATGATGCTGATGATGATGATGATGATGATGATGATGATGATGATGATGTGATGATGATGTGATGATGATGATGATGATGATGATGATGATGATGATGATGATGATGATGATGATGATCATGATGATCATGATGATGCTGATGATGACGACGACGATGACGATGACGACGAGAAGGAGGATGTTGGATGTTGCTGCTGCTGATGATGATGATGCTGCTGATGTGATGATGCTGATGCTGGTGATGCTGCTGATGCTGATTGATGCTGATGATAATGATGATGAGGATGATGATGAGGATGATGATGTTCAGGAGGAGAAGGAGGAGGAGGAGGAGGAGGAGGAGGAGGAGGAGGGGGAGGGGTGGAGGGGTGGAGGAGGAGGAGGAGGAAGGGGGGAGGAGGGGTGGAGGGTGGAGGAGAAGGAGGAGGAGGAGGAGGACGAGGAGGAGGAGGAGGAGGAGGAGGAGGAGGAGGAGGAGGAAGGAGGAAGGAGGAAGGAGGAGGAGGAGGAGGAAGGAGGAAGGAGAAGGAGGAAGGAGGAAGGAGGAAGAGGAAGGAGGAAGGAGAAGGAGGAAGGAGGAGGAGGAGGAGGAGGAGGGAGGAGGAGGAGGAGGAGAAGGAGGAGGAGGAGGAGGAGGAGGAGCCCTCCTTATGGATTTACTCCGTATGGACTCGGCATCCGCCGAGCCTCTGGGTGGGAGCCCCGCGCGGGACGCCGGGGGATCCTCCTCCTGCTTGAGGCCGACCTCGTACTTCAGCGCGGGCCTTCGCAGGGGGGGAGGTCGCCCTCTCCATCCAGGGGGGGGAGGGGAGGGGAGAGGGGCTGGGGAGGGGGAGGGGGGAGGGGGAGGGGGAGGAGGGGGAGGCGGAGGAGGGGGAGTGGGAGGAGGGGTAGGGGGAGGGGTAGGAGGACGAGGAGGATGAGGAGGAGGAGGAGGAGGCCTTACCATGGCGTAGATCTCTTCTCTATTCGCACAGTCGGATGTTGAGTAGGGCAATGATCCCGAGAGGGTGCGCGATGCATCGTAGAGCACGGCATAGCGGTGCGTAGAAGAGCACGGCTGAACGTAGTATGTCATAGCCCGGCGTGGCGTTGCGTAGTGAAGCCTTGCATCATAAAGCATTGCAACGCAAACAATGGCATAGCACAGCGGCACATAACAGAACATGACATAGCATAGCGTTGAAGATCACAGCGCAGCAAGGCATAGCATGGCGTGGCACTGCGTAGTCAAGCACTGCAGATCCTAGCATTGCAATTGATGGCATGACATCGCACAGCGGAACACCACATAATTAGCATTGAATTGCATGCCGTGGCATGGCACTGGAAATGAGGGCAGCGCTGAAGCGGGAGCACGATTCGGAACGAGCGGAAGCGCGGAAATGAGGCCAACGCTGCAGCGGGAGCGCGATTCGGAACTAGCGGAAGCGCGGAGGTGAGGCCAGCGCTGCAGCGGGAACACGATTCGGAACCAGCGGAAGCGCGGAAATGAGGCCAACGCTGCAGCGGGAGCGCGATTCGGAACGAGCAGAAGCGCGGAAATGAGGCCAGCGCTGTAGCGGGAGCACGATTCGGAACCAGCGGAAGCCCGAAAATGAGGCCAGCGCTTCAGCGGGAACAATTTTCTGAAAAAAACCCAGCGACAACCCAACTCCGGGAAATCCTGTGTAAAAACTATACGCGGAGGGGTGCCGAACATCTTCCGGAAGGACGTCATCAGGGGAGAGAGGAGAGTAGTGTTCATATTGTGTAATTGTGAAGAGGGAGAGGGAGGGGGAGGGGCCGGGGAGGGGGAGGGGAGTGGGGAGGGGAGGGGGGAAAGGGACGGGGGAGGGGAAGAAAGAGTGTCAAGGTCCAGAGGGGGGCGCAAGGATCAGCGACATCATTGCCAGCGGCATTCCCTCGGCTTCCTCCCGCCCCCTCCCTTCTCCACTAAAACGTATCCTGACAAAGTCGGATCGAAATAGGTCGAAAACCCGTGGGATCCGGCGGCTCTGAGGAATGGCTCGAGCGCCGCGGCATTCCCAAAGCTTTCTGGAACGTTCCGCAGCGCTCTGGAGCGAGTCATCCCGATCCTGGGCCCGATCTGGTCCTCGTCCCCTCCCTCCCTCCCTCCGTCCCTCCTTCCCATCGGAGGAGGCCAACAAAAAAACACCTCCCTCCTTCCCGCCCCGCCCTCCTCCCCTTCCCTCTCCTCCTTTCCCTCCCTTCCCAAGCCCTCTCCCCTCGTCCCTCCCCTCCCTCTCCTCCCATCCTTCCCTCCTGACCAGGGACCAGGGAGAAGGTCGAGCACGACCAGGCCTCTGGGGGGGTCGACTACGGACTTCGAGTGGACCGATTTCCGCACGGGTTGGACCTCCGCAGCGCGACGATCGCTTCGAGAATCCTGTCAGCGGCGGCCGCGACCCCATGTGCAGAAGAGGGTGACGACATGCTCGCGCAGGGATTGCTGGCCGTCCTTGCCTTGGTGAGCGTCGCTATGATCAGGTCGGGCGTGTCCCCCTACAGGCGCATTTTGGACGGAAACTAAAAATACTCAAAAACTACCCCCCACGTAGCCGAAACAAAATCACAAGTTCGTCCCCAGACTACTTTTTTACTATCTTTGAATATTCCTCCTGTAGGGGGACACGCCCGACTTAAGGCTATGATATACCTCGTGTGGCAAAATGAGGATGCTCAGCAGGGCGGTGGATCGCGTCCGCGAAGCGGATTCAGCTCCCACCTCTCCGACACTCGAGCCTCAAGGTCGTTCGAGATCTGACTACCTACCAGACCACCCCAACCTAACCCGAAGACCCAAGTGTCGGGTTGGGGGGGTACGGGTTCCACATGTGTCGTTTCGATATTCCCCGACCCCCCCAACTGGAGATCGAGGGTCAAGTTGGGCCTTCGGGTTGGGTTGGGGTGGTTCGGTGGGTGGTGAAGATCTAGACCTACCGGGGCTGCAGGCGCGCGTGCCTGCCCTCTGGGGACCGACGAACATCGAGAAGCAGATGATCCTGGAGAGCGACGAGGCGATCTTTGGAGAGGGCGCCGCGAAGCCGATGACGGAGAAGAGCGCCGGGCCCATGGAGGCCAAGGCACTCAGCGAGGAGCTCGGGCCTCACAGGAGGCTAAGATGGATCGTGGAGATGAAGACGATGCCCGAGGACGACGACTTCCAGGCCATGCGCGAGAAGCTGGCCAGCGAAGATCTCAGCGGCATTCCTGTGATCATCAAGGTCTCGGAGAAGACGTTCAGGTATTACAATTCGATGGGCGCGCAGATCACAAGGGACGAGGACACCAAGGCTGCGGCTGGAGTGGCATGCTGGGCGAGCCCGGCGTCTGCTGGCGGTCGACTCCGTATGCGCGGAGCCTTCAGCAGCTACAAGAAGGCAAGGTCGGCCACGGAACTGCAGCGACAGCATCTTCGTGTGGATAGGTATACCTGACGATGGAGGTTGGCAACTCCATAGTTACAACGTTCATGGCGAACGATCTGATTCGATGAATTCAGTCTCATATACATCGAGCTTCCTTCGAAATAGTGGTTTGATGAAGCTCAGCAGCTTTACCATCGAGATGGTTGAGGCGGTGAAGGGCGCCAGAGCCTGGCCGGAGCCTACCAGGAAGGAGGACCTGCGGGAGGAGGAGGAGGAGGACGAGGAGGAGGAGGACTACTACCTCCTGTCCTTTCCCCTCTACACGCTGCTCTCCCCCTTCTGACCTGCCGCCGCCCCGCCACTGCTTCGGGCTCGAAAGGGCCCTTGACCAAAGACGGTCTGCGCCCCCGCGGGGCGCCATCGATGGGCCCCAGCGGGGCGCCATCGATTGGTGCTCGAGCCCGAGGTCATCAGACCTCGCTACCGCGACTCCACCAACCATCGCCGTTGGTGCTTGGCGTCAAATACCTCTTCCCACTGTGGTTGTGGGCATGCTTCTTCACGCATGCTCTATCTGTTGGCTACAGAGTCGGCGAGCTCGTTCCATGGGTGCCCTTTGTGTGCGTAGATGTGGTCAGTGTGTAGGTGTGTTGCGCTCGAAGCCAGCTGGTGGAGCTGGTTGGTCAGTATGGCCAGGTCGTAGTTGCTGTGTGGTATGCAATTGCCTTTCGCAAGGCCGATCGCCACCTTTGGGTCTGTGCACTTTTGTTGGTGCGTTATTGCGGGTGGGTGTCTGGCTGTACATCCATGCGTATGCCCATACAAACACTGCCAACTCTAATGTAGTTGAGGTTGATTTCCATATGTCGGTCGATGTTGATTCTGACATTTTGGCTGCCATCGTGCCGACGTAGGTGAAGCCGTCCTCGTCCTCTACGTTGAGAAACGACTTCCCATGCTTCTTTTGTTGAATCGTTCTGGTGTGCACCGTCAGTGTATGGGTGGATCCGCTGAACAGTCCCACCAGCCGTCTGGGCGTAGGTGGTCTAGGGCAGCTCCTCTTCCAACTCCCTTCTTCCCCTTCGGGGAGGGGTTTGCCCTCCCCTGGACCTGGACGGGGCCGGTCGCGAGCGGTCAGGGCGTCCAAAACGACCTCGGCGAGAAAGCCAAAATCATTGGTTTTACTAGGGTGTTGGCCCCATGTTGGCCTCTTGGGGGGGCAGCGCTACAAGGAGCTCCCCTCTTCTTTGATCGATCTTCTCCAAAATGGCCCCAAGAGGCACCCAGGAGGTCCCAAGAGGTCCCAAGATGGCCCCAAGATGGCCCCAAGAGGCCCCCAGGAGGCCCCAAGAGGCCCTCAAGAGGACCCCAAGCGACCCCAAGAGGCCCCCCCGAGGCACCCAAGACGCCCAAGAGCCCCCCAGGACCGCCAAGAGACTCCCGAGACGTCCCAAGAGGCCACCAAGAAACGCCCAAGAGATACCCCAAGAGGCTCCGAGAGGCATCCAAGAGACCTCTGGCCTTTTTGCTTGCCCTCCTCCTCCTGCTCCTCCTTCCTCCTCCTATTCTTTCTCTTCCTCCTCCTCCTCCTCCCTCGTCCTCCTCATCCTCTTCATCCTCTTTCTCCCCACTCCCTCATCCATCCATCCAGCCTCCTCTTCCTCCATCCTTCGCACAGTTCGGCCGTCCCCCTCTTTGCTCCCGCACTTCCCTGATCACCTCGACTCGCCTGTACATCGTTTCTGGATGGGCTGGTGGGGATACGCGAAGCGTCTAGGATTCGATGCGTCCTTGACGGTGCTAGCTCCATCGCCATGATGGTTGCTGGGTGGAACTTTTCGGGTTCGCGCATGTCGGGGAAGGTGGTAATGAGGTTGGGCGGGGAGGTGCGCCTGAGGACGTCGGCGATCGGCTCGGTCATTGCGAAGGTGGGTCGATTCGCTTCTCTCGCTTGACGTCTCTCTCGGTGGTCTCCCGATGTCTTTACTTCTCGCACGGAGCAGGGTCGGGTATCGGGAGGCCGTCGTGCCTGGTGGGCGTGGTTGTCGATGACCGCCTTGGCAAGTCCTTCAGCAGCTTGTGATATCTTGCCCCCGCCGTTGTAAAGACCTTATGCCATATCCGTTTGAAAAAGGGTCGTGCGTCCGTCGAGCATGGAGTCGGTATCCCACATCCCTCCACTCGAGTGCTCGATCGAAGCCGCGTCTCATCTGTAGCTTGTGCTTGTGTAGTGGCGCCCTGTGGCTCAATCGAATTCGACAGCGGTGGTGTCCGTCGCGTGTCCAACGTCGTCCTCTCAATCGCAGCCCCTCATTGTGGAGCTGCTCGGTGTACTGGCCCGTCGGAACGGTGCCATCGCATGTCCTCTTGTTCACTCGGGGCTTCGTTGTATGTCTGTCTTTTCCTTGCGCAGGCTGCGGGGGCTCCACACTGGCGCCCAAAACGTCAGGCACCCGCGGGCCACCGCGGGGAAAGCAGGGAACGCCATGCGTCACGACAACCGCCGAGGAGGTGGAAAAATACACGCTGAACATACAAGAGGAGGAGTGTGCCCGTCGTAACTCTCCTCTCCAACGTCGGTCGGGGTGGGTACTTGTCCCGTTGCAGTGGGTCTCGCCTGCCTGGGTCGGTTACTTTGGGCCGCAGGCGCGCGAAGACGAGTCGAACGCCGAGCATGCTAGGGCGGGCCGCGCCCCGTAGCTAAGGGGAAAACAGTGAGGCCTGGGTCGGTTACGCGCAGCGGTGCTCATGGCTGGCCTCCTGGCCTCCCCCGGGGTGGGGGCTAATTGCATGCGCCCCTTGCGGGTGGGGTCCCCCAGCTCTCCGTCCCTCGGAGGGCGCTCCCTGGCCCGAGGCGCTCTCAGCTTTGGGAGCCGGCTGGTCCCGCTGGGCCTGGCGAGGGGTGCTCTGGAGGCCGCCGGGGCCTCCTAGGACATCCTGGGGGCACCTCTGGGCCAGGGGTTCCTCCGCCTCCCCCTCCCCCTCCCCCTCCCCCTCCTCCTCCTCCTCCTCCTCCTCCTCCTCCTCCTCCTCCTCCTGTTCCTCCTCCTCCTTCTCCTTTCATCAGCCCGACTGCAGGTTTTTCGCAGCGGATCTGGCCTTGGTGATGAGAAGCCTCCAGGGGGGCCCAGGACGAGACGCGCCTGGAAAAGCCGCCGTTGTCTCGGTCGGCCCTCCTCGTCCTTGTCCTCCTCCTCCTCCTCCTCCTCCTCCTCCTTCCTCATCCTCTCCTCCTCCTCCTCATCCTCCTCCTCCTCCTCCTCCTCCCCCTCCTCCTCCCCCTCCCCCTAGATCGTCTAATCTCTATCCTCTATCCTCCTCCTTCCGCCAGCTCTGGCAACGCCCGATCCGGGGAGGGGGGGAGCTGGGCATCCCGGGCCCCCCCAGGCCACCGCGCGCGCAGCGGGGCCCGGCCTCTTGGCCCAGGCCGCCTGCTCCGTGCTGCCTCGAAGGCTAAGGGACGACTCCGCCGACAACGCCGACGACAACGACGACGACGACGACGACGACGAAGACGCCGATGCCGACGCCGACGACGACGACGACGACGACAACGACGACGGAGCTGGTAACGACTCACGCCGACGACGAGGACGAAGACGCGGACGAGGATGACGACGGCAACGACGGCGATGACGATGCCGACGACGACGCCGATGCCGGACGAAGGCAGCGACGACGACGCATACGCCGACGACGACGACGACGACGACGACGGCGCCGGCGACGCTGACGACGGCGCTGGCGACGACGACAACGACGAGGACCGCTCTGAATGCAGGGGCCTGCTGAGGGCCAGGAGTGCCCTGACTTTGGGATCCGCCGAAGTTTGGGCGATTTGGCCGTGATTTGGGGATGCCCGCCCAACTTTGGTGTCGCTGTTTCCGCCATACCTTTGCAAAAATTTCCGCCCTACGTGTCTGAGGCGGAAAGGTGTGCCCTGCTTTTTCACATCGTCTGGGGCGCACTTCCGTCACGATCTTCAAATCGGGAAATCTGGGTAAGTATGGCGGATCCGGAATCAAGGATGAGCACTTAAGACGAAGGCACGATCAACCGGGAAGGCAGAACACTCGGGTTTGGGGGACTCGGGTTGGCCTGACAGGGCCGTGGGGAAAATGACAAGACCCAATCTGAGACCCAATCTGAGATTTGACGCGAGTCCCCGCTGCAAACATCCCACGAGCTCGAGTCTTACGTTTCTCCGGATCAAAGCTGGGGCGTCTGAGGAGGTCGGGGGTCGCTGAGAAGGCGGGCTGGCGCTTCCACCAAGGAGGCTGGAGGGAGAGGGGGTCCAGCAACGCATATCCAAGACATCCGCGCGGAACTCCAGAAGTTTATGTTTGTGCACTTTTTTCTTCAAGTCTGGCAGGCTTGGGTCTTCGCCGCCCCTGAAAGTCGGAGAGGGAAAAGGAGGAGGGGGAGGAGGAGGAGGAGGAGGAGGAGGTGGAAGAGAGGAGGAGGAGGAGAGGAGGAGAGGAGGAGAAGGGGAATGGGCGGAATTCGCTCAAAACCAATTGCCCACACGTGCCTCTCCCAGGGTCGAAGCTGACCCTTTTCTCGAACATCGCGTCCAGCCGTGGCGGCCCGAGGGCCTCCTCCTCCTCCTCCTCCTCCTACCTCCTCCTCCCCCTCCTCCTCCTCCCCCTCCTCCTCCTCCCCCTCCCCCCTCCCCTCCCCCTCCATCCCCCACCCCCTCCCCCTCCCCCTCCCCTCTCCTCCTCCTCCCCCTCCTCCTCCTCCCTCTCTTCTCCTCTCCTCTCCCCTCCCCCTCCTCCTCCTCCTCCTCCTTCTCTCCCCCCCCCCATGGCTGCTAGGGCTCCCAACTTCGCGCTCTCGCGCTCCGCGAAGCACGAAGAGCTTCGCGCTCTCGCGCTGCCCCCCCCCCAAAGAGAACAAAAGGAGGACGAGGAGGAGGGGGAGAAGGAGCGAGGACAGCGAAGCGCGAAGAACTTCGCTCCCTCGTGGGAGCCCTTGTGGCTGCAACCAGTGCTGGGCCACCTCAGCCCCCCGGCCAGCTCTATCCTTAGGTCGGGCATGTCCCCCTAGCCAGGCGGATTTTGGACGAAAAATAATAAATACCAGACAACAATCTGAGAAATAGCAAAAAAATGCTCAAACAAAACGTCAGAGACTATTTCCCCATATCCTAAGTATGGGGTTCTTGTTATTGGCGGACCGCGCCGGAGGAGAGAGAACACACCACTCCTCTCACTCAGACCCACTCACTCATCACTCAGACTCACTCATCACTCAGACCCACTCATCACTCAGACTAACTCATCACTCAGACTCACTCATCACTCGGACTCAGTCATGACTCAGACTCATCACTCATCACTCAGACTCACTCATCACTCAGACTCACTCATCACTCAGACTCACTCGTACTTGTACTCATACATTCACTACACTCACTCAGGTCCACTCATCGGATGACTCACACACACTGATGTTGAGGATGTCAGGCGATTCTGTGGCTTCAGCACTCCTAAGGGGAGCGGCGGGGGGGTATTGCACTCGGCCCCTTTCGCGGGATTTTGTGGGGATGTCTCAGGCGGTTTGGCCATTTTCTCTTCCAACATGTTTCGCTTTCGGAGCAGATTTGGAGGATGTCTCAGGCGATTCGCTGGTTTCAGCACTCCTAAGGGGAGCGGCGGGGGGGTATTGCACTCGGCCCCTTTCGCGGGATTTTGTGGGGATGTCTCAGGCGGTTTGGCCATTTTCTCTTCCAACATGTTTCGCTTTCGGAGCAGATTTGGAGGATGTCTCAGGCGATTCGCTGGTTTCAGCACTCTAAGGGGAGCGGCGGGGGGGTATTGCACTCGGCCCCTTTCGCGGGATTTTGTGGGGATGTCTCAGGCGGTTTGGTCTCAGGCGATTCGCTGGTTTCAGCACTCCTAATGGGAGCGGCGGGGGGGTATTGCACTCGGCCCCTTTCGCGGGATTTTGTGGGGATGTCAGGCGGTTTGGCCATTTTCTCTTCCAACATGTTTCGCTTTCGGAGCAGATTTGGAGGATATCTCCGCGATTCGCTGGTTTCAGCACTCTAATGGGGGAGCGGCGGGGGGGTATTGCACTCGGCCCCTTTCGCGGGATTTTGTGGGGATGTCTCAGGCGGTTTGGCCATTTTCTCTTCCAACATGTTCCGCTTTCGGAGCAGATTTGGAGGACGTTCGCGCCCAGTTTGCGGGGATGTCTCTGTCTCAGGCGGTTTGGCCGTTATGATGCTGGGCATCTGTCGTTATCGGAGCAGTTCTGGGAGGATGTCTCAGGCGATTTGCTGGTTTCAGCACTCCCAAGGAGGAGGAGGAGGAGGAGGAGGAGGAGGAAGAGAAGAAGGAGGAAGCGAGGAGGAGGAGGAGGAAGAGGACGAGGAGGAGGAGGAGGAGGAGGAGAAGGAGGACAGCATGAACACGGTAGGAGCAGAAGCAGGAAGGGGAGGATGATGATGATGACGATGATGATGATGAGGAGGAGGAGGAGGACGTGGGCAACTCGAGTAGCCAGGGCCAGACGATCGAGGTTCGATGTTCCAAGGCTTTAGGTTTTACTCAAACGCTTCCGCCTCACTCTCCTTCGCTCTCCGCTCTCCTTCACTCTTCTGCATTCATACTCACTCATACTCAGACTCAGTCACACGCAGGCTCACTCGCACTTAGATTCGCTCATATCCATACTTAAACTTACTCACACTCAGACTCACGCTCAGAACCACTCATACTCAGACTCGCTCCTGCTCAGACTCATCATCCTTCGGTCCGCTCAAACGCAGACCGACTCACACTCAGACTGCCTCACATCCATACCCAATCACACTCGGCTCACTCGCACTCAGCTCAGATTCATTAACACACACTTTTTTTCACACTCAGACCCACTCAAGCCCAGACTCACTCATGCTCAGACTCATCATGCTACGATCCGCTCAATCACAGACTGGCTCACACTCAGATTCGTCCATACTCAGACCCACTCGCACACAGACGCACTCGCGCTCATATTTACTCACACGCATACCCACTCAAATCCAGGCTCAATCGCACCCAGATTAACTCACACTCAGAATCAGTCGCTCTCAGATTTGCTATTGGTCGCACTCATGCTTGCAGACTGTGGGAATGTCTCGAGCGAGCGGTTCGCCCTCGCACACAGGCGCTCTTTGACAGATATCAATAGAAAGACGTACCAAGAGAATGAGATGCACCTATGGGGAGCCCCGCGTCGAGTAATTTTGCCTATTTTTTGATACTCCTCCTGAAGAGGGACAGGCTCGACTTAACTCTAACCTGGATCTTCGCCGCCCCCGAAAGGAGGAGCAGGAGTGGATGGGCCGAGGGGGTGGGCTGGAGCCCGCCGCAGCGTCGCCCTGCGCGGGGCGAACTATCGGGCCCTTATCGGCGGTGAATGAGCCACTGGGGGTCGATGCCACACCTCTGCGCCCATCCCCCTGTTATTGCCGCTCCTCGTCTGGCTTCCGGGTCATAGCTCGGCTCCCCGGCGGCCGTTCGGAGCGATCCGGGCACCCCCGGAACGTCCTCGGCGAGGCACAGCCGCTGCAACGCGCCCCCAGGCTCCAAAACCTCCGAGGGCTGACGAAGACGCCCTCGAACCTCGAACCTCGAACCTCGAATCTCGAACCTCAAACCTCGAACCTGACGTTGTCCCCGAGAGAGGAGGAGCAGGAGGGGACGGGGCCCGCCGCAGCGCCGCCCTTGCCTGGCCTACGGACACGTCTGGTGGTGCGACAGAGGGGGGAGTTACATATAAAGAGCAGGGATGGAAGACGTTTTTTTTCCACAGCAAGCGAACACACCATAACTCCTTGTTCCGTGGCCAGTTGCCAGCTGGCTCGCAAGCATACGCCAGCCATGCAGGAGGAGAAAAGAGGAGGCAGCAGCAGCAAGAGAAACAGGGGTATGAGTGGCAGGCGGAGGCAGACGAGGAGAAAGAGAAGGAAGAGGGCGATGAGCATCGTTGAACCTGTCCCCATCCCCACTGGCATGGCCTTGGGTCCACTGGCCGATTTACTCGCTAGATGGAGATGCATGATATTCCCTTCGGATGTTGCACCACCTGGGGGGGGTGGGATGGTGAGGCGGAGATACCGTGGCCCAGTGGGGATGGGGATCGGTTGAACGATGCTGGGACGAGGAGCAGGAGGAGGAGGAGGAGGAGGAGGAGGAGGACGAGGAGGAGGAGGAGGAGGAGGAGGAGGTGGAGGAGGAGGAGGAGGACGAGCGAGGAGGAGGTGGAGGAGGACGAGAAGGACGGGGACGAGGAGGACGAGGAGGAGGACGAGGACCAGTGCAAACCCAAGACATCAAAGATTTTGCAATAAACTTTCCCTCCAAGTTCCCTCTTCATAGGCCCCTGCAAGGGTTCATTGTTTTATTGCCACTAAGGAAAATGCCATTTGAAAAACAGCAATTTGAACATTTTGAA